TACAAATTTCAGTTTTAATATCAAACATGACTTGCGTAATATAATACACAAAAAACTAAGCAGTTTCTTAAGCAAGTTCAGTGCAACTGCAATGCGACTACACCAAAAACTCGTTAGAGCCTGCCTGAACTAAATTAGCAAACACAGAAACACAATGCTGACAAAACTGATGAGGCAGCATGCAACTTCTCACCGCCTCTTGAGACCTCTCATCATGTAAAGGATCCTAACAAAAAGGGTCTGTGGCAACTAGTTGGAGTAAGTAAATACCATGGTTGTGCTTTAACACTAATATCAGTTTGTTATTCTAGCTTACGCATCTGTGTCCGAGATCGGGTCCTCAACTTCACTCTCACCGCTTGAACTATCATCTGCGGTTGAAGTCCTGGCTTTGACTGGCTTAGAGTTTTGATGGAGATCATATTTGACAAATTTAATTTTCTTTTCATTGTGTTTTCCTTTTCTTTTCCGAGCTTTATGTTTGGGTAACTTCATAGTTTGGGCAGCAGCTACAAACGCATCACTAATCAATTTGTTTTGCTCATCATTCTCACCTGTATCTCCCTCTCCCCCAGCATTATCAACATAAAAAAGGTCATCATCTGCTATCTTCCTCTCCAAGTTACTTGCNCTGGTCCCTATGGAGAACTTTCTAATGGGATATGGTTTGTATAGGCAAAGCCATCTCAGTGGCAGCCCAAAGAGCCCGCTCAGTCCATCTTGCATCTCTCCTGAACTTCTTTCCCCAGAGAGCATGGGATTGAAACTGAAGCCTATAAAGACACGTGTTTAACTGCAAGTTTGACCAGGAGGAGCAAGCCCACATTTTGCTTCATAGCAGTCTTTCTTCTTCTATTGATTTTTCTGATTTTTTTATTGTTTGAGACAAATAGAGAGGAGATGGCGGATTGTAGATATAGAAAGGGAAATTCAGAATCCGTGGGAGGCTATGAATATATATACATATACATACATACATATATATGTGTATGTATAGGTATAATAATAATAATAATAACATATATATGTGTGTGGGTTCATCCCATTTGTAGTCAGTCATAAAGGAATCGGGGAGCTGTATATGATGTACATTCCATACGGACTCCAGATTTATTTATAAAGATGAGCAAATAATAATGCATAGAGACTCTTTCATTTTTAACTTTCCCACAGCTTCAAATCTTTTATCACTTTCATACACTTACCAACCATATTCATTCTCACGTTGGTTTATTTTTCTTTGTTACGCCAGCAATTCATTCGTTCTTTGTTAAAAGGGGACTTTCAGGGTCAATGTGAAAAGGGATACTCTCTTACAATGTAGTCAAGGAAGTTTGTTGAAACATTTCTCTCGAACAGGGTTGTGTTTGAAGGAAAATAATAAAAGGACATAATCTACTTAGAATAAATAATATGCTAAAGTGAATGACCAAGAGTTACATAGTCAATTCCTTCTGATTCTAATAATGTGTCACTCCACCAATTTTAATCATTTCAAGCTCATTTCTTAACTTTTCAACTTCTGACATTTTTGTCTGTCCCAACTAACATAACTTACGTTACTAAATTCTTCAGTATCAAGACTTTATTGTTTGAACTTTAAGTAGCAAGCATAATACTTCAAATCACCAAAGAAATCTTCAATCTACAATTCAATAAAATGAAAAAAAGCAGCTTCTACCACTATGCTCAAAACAGCTAATTAGAGCTCCACTGCAGTACATTGATTAAAGATTTTGGCAATTTGGAAGATTCTCTTATTTTTCGTCTTCCCTACCGCATCTCAACAGAAAAAAAAATGCCGACCTCTCACCAAAACGTCCTTTTCAGAGTACAAAATTGCTTATTCATTTATGCTGATTCATTTTCAGTTACATGCATATCTAGATTACGAAAAAGCAAAAGCAAATAAAATGGAAGATACAAAGAAGAGAAGAATAGGAAAAAGGCCTGTTTACTTGCAACTGGAGGATTCTGCGGATACAAATTTCAGTTTTAATATCAAACATGACTTGCGTAATATAATACACAAAAAACTAAGCAGTTTCTTAAGCAAGTTCAGTGCAACTGCAATGCGACTACACCAAAAACTCGTTAGAGCCTGCCTGAACTAAATTAGCAAACACAGAAACACAATGCTGACAAAACTGATGAGGCAGCATGCAACTTCTCACCGCCTCTTGAGACCTCTCATCATGTAAAAGATCCTAACAAAAAGGGTCTGTGGCAACTAGTTGGAGTAAGTAAATACCATGGTTGTGCTTTAACACTAATATCAGTTTGTTATTCTAGCTTACGCATCTGTGTCCGAGATCGGGTCCTCAACTTCACTCTCACCGCTTGAACTATCATCTGCGGTTGAAGTCCTGGCTTTGACTGGCTTAGAGTTTTGATGGAGATCATATTTGACAAATTTAATTTTCTTTTCATTGTGTTTTCCTTTTCTTTTCCGAGCTTTATGTTTGGGTAACTTCATAGTTTGGGCAGCAGCCACAAACGCATCACTAATCAATTTGTTTTGCTCATCATTCTCACCTGTATCTCCCTCTCCCCCAGCATTATCAACATAAAAAAGGTCATCATCTGCTATCTTCCTCTCCAAGTTACTTGCAGGGTCCTCGGGTTTGGAAACATCAAGACCTGATGTAGCATGATTTTTTAAAATATCATCTTCAAAAACTCTGATCCCTTGGTTCTCAAGGCTCAGCAGCCAAACTGGTGAGTAGATTAAACACAGTGCATTAATAAAATATTTTAGGTGTGTAATGCATTGAGCACCATATCTGATCAGAAATATAAGTTGCAGATCTACTCACGTGTAAGAGCTTTGGGAGAGGATTCATTAGCTCTGCTAGCTTTTTCCTCTAAACCATTCTGGTTAGAAACCCATTTAATTATTTGCAATGGCAATCGAGAAGCAGAAAATGCCTTTATATAAGAGATGATTCTATTCTGATCACCAAGTCCCCTGTATTGATATAGATTTAGATATTACACCATGTAACAAATATGAGAGAACTACATACACATAATACAATAATTAATTCCTCATACTAACATACCTAAAATACTCCACAGCCCCATGAGTAACAATCAATTTGGTCAAGGTGAGGTTTTGTACGTTGGCATTTGAATAGAGGAAAGGGTAGTCTACAAATAGTACAGCATCAAAAATAACTTTCCTTGATAGAATTTCATCTTCAGGTTTCTGCACGGACAGAGATAGAAGGAAACACTTTTTAGAATCCCAACATTCTGATAAATGGACTAAGGAAATAAACAAGGATAAGTGTAAATCTATGAAAAGTTTAATTGTACTAGTAATAGCCGTGGTCTATAAAATCACGGTGTTGGACTTTTGTGCAACGGAAATGAGAACAGATACCTTTTCTAATCACATACAATAAATAGGAAACAAATGAGATAAACTTATGGCGAATACAAGGACAAGATACTGACCAGTATTGAAACCAGAGGCAATGGTGTCTCCAATGCCGTCCTCATAAGGATCTCTGGTTACACAAAAGATAAATCCACGTTAAATAGAAACCACAAAAATGAGAATCCTAGAGAAGAATTGAAGCAAATGATCAAGTGCTTCTAATGGGAACTCTTCCACGACCCAGCTGAGTTCAATCGTGAAAAGGTTCAAAATAAAACTTCATGGACAAAATGCACCAAAGATGCAAGCAACCTGGCCCATGGAAAATTCATGCATTTCACAGAGGACGTTATAGTGCACAGCTATAACTTCATTGCTACAATCAATTGCTTAAGCTACTACAAAGTTGCATTGAAATGTATATGAAAAGTAAGGGGAAACTGAAATATAAATAAAAATACAAAACCTTACTAACCGAAAAAGTATGTGTTCTGAAAGCTAGATATTGAGCTAACAGCCCAACTCTTTAGCTTCATTTCCAATCCTTCCTTTGACGTTCCCAGATGTAAAGAAAGACAAAGTTTCAATAAGAACACTTCCATGATGATAGCACCACCTAAGTAATCAACGTGAAACCCTCTAGAACAAATCCAGTTACAAACATCACTGCTCACAAGAGGTAACAAAGATTCAAACGCGTCATCATTCATGGCCACCCAAAGACGAGCCAAATCAATGAATGGAAAAATCAATCTCACTGAATCAGATTCCCCCTCATAAACCTTGTTATGACAAGAAAGGCTTATATACCCAAGAACTACATCCACCAAAGACTTCACCTCCTTCATAGCTTTCTTCTCTCTCTTACATCTCAATTCCCTTCCTAACAGCTCCACTATCACTCCGTGGAGCACAAAAACAACAGGCGCCAGCAAAACGATACTCTTTGCAGCACAAACAGAAGCTGAACACGCAGATAGCAACTGAAGTAAGTATTTGGCGACCAATATTTTATCCAAGGCATCGCCTTTCTCCGGGTTACGTCCACGAAAGTTTATTGCTGCATAGGCCCATATCACCTCGAAGGGTGGATCAACCTTCGCTTGCATCAATTCGTAAAACGTAGAGACTAAAGGAGACAAGTTTGGGGACTTCTTCGAAATCTCAGACAAAAGTTCTTGCATAGAGTGTTTCAGCTTGAGGGCGTAGTTCTCACCCGCTAAAGGGACCAAATCTGTGGCCTCCATTGAAGAAGAAGAAAAGAGTGCTTAATCGATGTTCCCCGGTACAAATATAAATGTGCAAATCTGATTTCTAGGGTTTATAAAAGAAGGGTTTTGGTAAGGATTTGAGCCCGACTCGAACCGGTTTGGTACCGACTCCTACGTGGACTATAAAAATTGGATTTTTTTTTACGGGCAAATTTGAAATCTCAATCATAAAATTAAGAGACACTACGTGTTAGCTTTCTCCTCATTGGTGGAAAATGTGGGACCTAGCTTGTTTTTGCTTATCTGGACCAATCATATAAGCTAAAAAGGTATAATTTTATGGACGTAATTGTCACAAAACCAAGAATTTAGAATTATTTTAAGAGCATTATATAAAAGCAGGGTTTTTTCGATGGTTGATTTATTTGGGGTGTTACTCCCGTACCCACTGAATCGCACTGTCTAAATTGGTGAAATTTTTTATCTTTCTGAGGATCAGCTGTTGGTAGTATCCAAGGTGGTGCTGTGTGGCGTTGTTGGGAAGATGAAGAGGGTGTTTTGGGTTGTAGTTGTAACAGTGGTGGTTGCAGCATGGATGCCCCTCTCACACTGTTCCAAGAAACCGGTTGGGGTTGCTAGAAAGGAGGACATTCCGTACATAAGGTGTCAAGTGTGTGAGAAGCTTGCTAAGGAGTTGCATCAGCAGGTTCATAACAAGCAAGGTCAGATCGCTCCCAAAAAGGTTCTTGTTTTCATTTTTTTTTTCTCCTTCTGAATTGCTTCCTTGTATTTGTTTCAGAGCTCATTTGTAGGCTTTTGGTGATAGATATTCAATTATTGTGTGTATTTTTGTGTTAGATCTCGGAGTACCAGATCATTGAGATAGCGGAGAATGTTTGTAATCTGAAAAAGGCAGAAGCGGATTGGATATTGCGCATAGATATTGTGGAGGAAGGAGATAGGCTGGTGGTAAGAGAACTCTTGTTTGACAAATGGCTAGTGGAAATTTCTATTTTTTAATTTGAGTTTGACATTGCTATGCCATTTTCCCGCATTTGTTGCACCTCCTACTTTCTTTGGATTGTGAATGGAATAAGTATTAAGTATTAAATAAAAAGAATGTGTTGGTCGTATGAACTCTGTGGTAATACTTAGATGTTGTTTTTCTAACTTCTTTTTTCATCATCAGCTTGAGGAACAAGACTCTGAAGGACAATGCAATTCTGAATGCAAGACAATTGAGCGAGCCTGTCAGGAGGTATGCCGCCAGTAAATTTCATCTTCTCGTCTGGTTCTGAAACTGGCTTATGTGAGAGAGATGAGTAAAGGAACAAGTTTCACTCAATATCTATTTCTCAATCAAATGGGATTACTGTGATGTTGTTGTATTGTTCATCATCTGAAGTGTACTTCATGAGCTGGTTTTGTATTTGTTGTGTTTTTTAAATATCCACATTTCAAGTGCAAATTTGTGATAACTAAATTGGTAATGTGGAATTTGCAGGTTATAGGATATTCGGATACTGATGTTGCTGAATATTTATATAGTTCCAAGCCCGATATTGACTCATTGCGCAATTATCTCTGCAAAGACCTTACTAAAGCATGCAGTACCAAGCCACCCCCTGTCCCTAAGGTAACTATAGTTTTGAAATTGATGCTTCTGTTAATCTGGTTATGATTGGCATACAGTTTTCTCGTGAACTAATTATTGATCCATGGAAATTGGTTGTTAAAAATAGTCTTCTTTTGGGTAGTATTGAGTTTGTGATTTCTGCTGCTGTATAGAATAATAAGTCTTTTGGTGATCATTGTTATGATGGTTCTCATGATTTGTCTCGTATAGTTCCTTTGCACTTTAGGAAGAGTTCAACTTGAATGTTTGGGGTTTATTGTCAATTATGGAAAAAGAAAACAAGAAAGAATGACAAGAAAATTGAGTAAGTGTGATGGACAAAAACCATAGTATTGCAATTTATGTTTAAGTATAAGAGCAGTTACCTTCTTGCAGACACAGATATATATAAACCTTTGCCTTTAATTTTTGTTAATGTCTTCACTGAACATCAGGGTGAAGTGCTAGTTACTTTATTTTGTTATAAAATTCTAATATGTGATTACTTTTATCAACCCAACAATTTACCCTAACCCCCGCACTTTTAGGATTCAAATTCTAGATACTATACCGATTAAACTTTCCCTTATTTGGACTATGTAGTTCATAAGAAACTAGAAAGTTGTTTCTGCAATGATGCTATCTAAAGTTGTATGCACTTAGCATAACTGTTTGATGATGTACTTGAGTTCTTAATGGAAAATCTGGCTATTTTCATCATGAAGATATATCTATTTATGTTGCAGAACAGGGCACCTGGTGAACCATTTGCTGCAAAGTCTTCCAAGGAGGCTGAAATGGAAAAACTGCTGAAATCTATGGAGGTATTTTACCTTCTTTCCTTGTATTTTATGTTTATATTTTTGTATTTTAGAATAAAGCATGTGTGCTATGCAGTATAAAGGTAAGTTACATTGGCAACCTGCATTAAATGATCGTGTATGTTAAGATTTTCTGACTTTTATAATAATTACTTATCTGAAAAATTATACTGAGGATTCTGATTTATTAACAATGTAAAAAACTTTTGCATTAATAATACATGCTTAATAAACTCTTGCTTGCTTTATGTTACTGGTTGTACATTATGATCATGTTGTATTTCCTTGTGGTTCAGGGCATGCCCGGAGCACCAGGCATGAAAATGTACTCGAGGGATGATTTAATGAACATGAAGAATTTTGGTGGTGAAGATGGTGATGATGAAGATGAAGACGAGGATGAAGAGGCGAACTTCCCATCAAAATTGGTACTAACTGTTCCTTTCATTCATATTGATTGAAATTTCTTGACAGAGACTGATGATTTGAGTAAACTGCGTTTTGCAGGGAAAAGTTATGAGAGAAAAGGAAAATGGAAAAAGAGACTGGAAACAGGTGATAAAAAAGAGAATTGAGGATACAAGCATGACACTGAAGAAGCAAGCAAACAAATTTTCTAGTCATGTAAGACGGTGGTGGAGGGGAAAGAAGACAACCACCTCAAAGAAGGGAGTGAAGACAGAACTTTAGTGCTGATATCTATTCCCTGACCATTGGAACGAAATTACAACATCACCACGTTTGGTACTGATATGGACATGAATTTGGAAGGAAATCAAATGAGAACTTCACAATCACCTCTTCGAATCATTGGTTTTGCAGTCCAGGATTTGCTGTCTAATGTATTTTGGTGAGTCAATGGTTGTCTAATGTATACTCGCTAGCCTTTTCAGAGGAAAGATTACTCTTTTGAGATTTATGCAAGGATATTTTTAGAAAAGTTTTGGAAATTTAGTGTGTGCTCAATGGTAATGATTAACAAAAATATCAAATAAATTCTTTGAAATTGAAGTTACCAAAAGTTAAGACGTTTATTTTAATCAAAAGCTTACTATGGTTTGTTGAATGAAATGTATTGACAAACATCGTATGAGACATATAAGTCAATAGAACAAATTTATTCCTTATACTTTTATTTTAATTTAAATGATTTTTTAGTTACTTTCATGCGCTTCTTGGTACTCTTGTTCAAAAATAATCTTTATGTCAATCTATTTGTTTATCAAAATAGAAAGTTCAAAACTTACAATTTAAATTAGTATAAGTGAAAAAGGAAACATCATGAGAAACAAACAATCCTTGATTTTTCTTGTCATTACTATACATGGACAGCAATTTGTTTAGGAACGGCCAATATGCGATTTATTCGAACGAATCTTCTAACAAAAAATGAATTCAGCTCTTCGAACAATACTCTTAAATAGACATTAGAATAATAAAATTATCTGTAGTCATTTCTATCAGTTCTTCAACATTTATAACACTCGAGGAATAATTTGAGCAAATTATCAACTTTCGAAAGACTACTAGCATGATTTCTAATATTTGACATTACTATCTTTTGAATTATTTACAAGAGCAATATTCAAAGATAAAATTAATAACTTACTGAAAATCTGATGTATTATCAGAATAGCATGAACATGGTAAATGGAAAGAACACATTTCTAAACCTTTGAACAAACACAGCACGCATAGTTATTGTAATTTGCAAGTAATCACGTATGTTTGCTATGACTTGGCAATCTCCAGGCAAGCGGAGGAACATAATAGAATGGTAAACAATAATAGATTTCAAATTATATCATTTCATGGAAACATAATGTTCAAATATTAGAAAGAATTCAAATAAAAAGGCAAACATGTGACACTCAGTAGAAGGTTGCCTCTAGTTTAAGATAGAAGCAGCAATTGTCAAAATCTTACAAACGGCATGAGCCAACCAATAAACCAAATCAGGTTCAACGCATCTTGTAGTACTGAACCCTTGAAACATTGCATCGCTTTCCATTCAATGAATACTTAACCATTATATCAACATCGCGGGGATTCTTTTTATTTGGTGCAACAGTCATGCTCCCTACAATTGCCTCCCCCTCACAAATGGTCAAGATGTCTTCCAGATATAGGACTGTTTGTTTCCAATGTGTAGTTCGTGACTTTGGTCCTGCATAAATGCTCAAAAAGGTGAGTGATCCCAACTCTGTCCTACTAGTTTAACAACCTTGACACAACCACACACAACAAAGGCATCGTGTGTTTAAGTTTTGGTGGTTAAGTTTTGGTTATCAATTCTGAATAATACTTTAAATACCATTTTGTATCACAAATCTTAAGAAGTTAATTCATACTTTTCGTCAATTCTATTTTCCTTTTTCTGATTTGTTAGACAAACAATAAAATTGTTAGAAAACATTTCACACAAATTTTGGCAACCATTTTGTGAAGATAAGTCAATTCTATTCAGTTTAATTCACAGAACAAATGTTGAAGTTTGATGAAACTTGTAAATGTAAATTCTAAAACAACATTGAACCAACTTTCTATTCATCCTTTCTACTTTTATTAACGCTCTCTCTTTTTCAAGAAGCTAGCATATCTAATTTTATAGTGAAGTAGCATTCAGTGCATAAAATCTATTTTTGCCAATGAAGAAAGTATATCACATCAAGAGACTTGCATCTATAAAACATAAAATGGATGGTTGGAGATCCTACATCGACTAAGATAGCTTTTGATATCATCTTAGTAAATGAGTTTATGTCTTAACTCATACACGTTTGCAAGCACTCATTGATTTGCCTTATGCAAAGAAATGTAAGAGGAGAAAAATCATGATATATAACAGTTACTACATCCTTCTCCTATTCAAGGTCTCTCTAGTAACAACTACAATGTTTTTTTGACCCATTGTATTAGAGCAATGAAAGTTATAGCATGGTATCTAGAAGACTTAGAAACCTTACAGTTTTCAAGTTGAAGATGGAAAAAGCAGTTAAAACATTATTAGGTTCAAATAGAGGTTATTGAAAACTAATAAAGCACTTACAAGATGAGAAGAGAGGAAAGGATACTAGGAGCCTAGCTGACTACAGCTTAGACATAACTACTTGGACTAATGAGTGTTTACAAGTGGATATATGAGTTAAGCATAAACTCACTAACTAAGATAGTCATGTTCTTTCTGACTATCCTATTGTTACTCGGTTCCTGTTAGACCACTCATTAATATTTAATTCCATACTGAGATGTGCATTCCTCATTGTAAGGAGATGCGCTGGAGATCCAACATCAATCAGGAATAAGATTGAACTGTAATATATAAGAGGGGTACAGTTCTCACTTTACAAGTCAGATTTACAAGGTTAAGTTAATTATAAACCCACTTATCATGACAAACAAAACCAAAGACTCAAATTAAGAGAATTGTGGAAGTAGAAAGGANGATGAGAAGAGAGGAAAGGATACTGGGAGCCTAGCTGACTACAGCTTAGACATTACTACTTGGACTAATGAGTGTTTACAAGTGGATATATGAGTTAAGCATAAACTCACTAACTAAGATAGTCATGTTCTTTCTGACTATCCTATTGTTACTCGGTTCCTGTTAGACCACTCATTAATATTTAATTCCATACTGAGATGTGCATTCCTCATTGTAAGGAGATGCGCTGGAGATCCAACATCAATCAGGAATAAGATTGAAATGTAATATATAAGAGGGGTACAGTTCTCACTTTACAAGTCAGATTTACAAGGTTAAGTTAATTATAAACCCACTTATCATGACAAACAAAACCAAAGACTCAAATTAAGAGAATTGTGGAAGTAGAAAGGAATTAACCTGTAGAGAAGCCCATCAATTTATGACACTTTGTGAACGACACATCAAAGTATGCAACAAGGGCATGAATATAGTCATCACGTTCAGCTACAAGCTTAAAAGGTGCTGTGAATGAAGCATCTCCAGGAGCCATTTTTGAGATATCCATTGTCTAAACAAAGATGAACCAATCAGTTGATATTTTCCGGACAAAAGAAAATCCCTACAAAAAACATCAGACAAAAATGTAATGACCAACTCACCTTGAGTAGTTGGCAATTTGTAGCAATCTGATTCTGGTCAACTGTGTCAACAAGAGGCTCCATTATGGCTTGCTTCTTGATGCAGCTCATGTTAAATCCATATACATTGTTCCAAACTGATGTAGAAAGTGAAAATGAAATATATGTAAATACTACCAATAAATTAAATGCTTTTTCTTTCGTCCTGTGAGGTTAGAAATTTTAAGCAGTTGACTTCAATTTTTGTAATAACATGCAAAAAAGAATGAAGGATAAAAATTATCAACTAACACTCAATTTTATCTTCTTTGTAGTCTGCATCTTCAATGGCAGTGAGATGAAGGGATGCTCTATCAGGTAACACAACTCCATCATCCGCCTGGACAAAAAAAAAGAGAGAGAAACTCTCAAGCCAGCGACCACACAGTTCACGCATAGCAAGGATAATAAACTATTATCAAACAAGAGCCAGGAAAACACAACTTACAAGCCATTTGTCACGTGCATAGAGCACAGAATTTAACATGTTCTCGAACAACAAGAAATATCCCATCCATTCTGAAATTATTATATCAACTTTAGGAACTGGAAGCTCAATTTCTTCAATCTTCCCCTTCAGAACAGTCACAACTGTATAAACAAAGCAGCATTATGTTAATTAAAGTGAATAGTTTCACAACTAATCAACATATGTTGAAAATGTATCATATGAAACATATAAATGGCATCACCATTAGAGAAACCATTAGTTTCAACAATCTCCTTTGCCATGTCAGCCATATGGGAGCACTCAACCTGAGTTTCACAGATTAAAAACATCAATAAAATACAATCTGGAATGCATAATGTTTATAAAACTCAAATATTTTCAAGATTAAGAGCACTATAAAGATAATACGAAAGTTAGACACGTAACCGCATAGACATGTTCTGCCCCCGCTTTGGCACAAAATAGTGATAAAATCCCAGTCCCAGCTCCAACATCAAGAACTACTTTATTCTTGAATAGAAACTTATTCTGGTAAATAACATTTTGATATGTCTTAGTTCTTACAGTGTCCTTCAACATTTCCTGCAGAGTAAAAACAGGTTACCGCATACCTTTGTATGAAGTATAAAAATGATTGAATATTTGACGTTTTCTTTTTAGCTATTCGTAACAGAGCTAGTTAGCGAAACATAAAATCAACTAAGAAATAAATAAATAAACAAAATTCATCGATACACCATGCTGAATCCCAGTTGAACATACTTACTTCATGAATTCCTGCAACCACAAACACAGACAAAAAAGAAAAAGAAAAAGAATGAGTTATTTAATTTGAGAATGAAACAGACAAAACAAAACAAAACGGCTATAGTAAAAGCTAGAGTTACTAGTATGTTTAATGAAAGATTCACAGAAAAAAAAAATGGTACAAACTTTTTAGTATTTGGAATTGGGAATATACCAAAATGAGAGTAGGAATCAAAATAGTAGTCGGCACTGGTTTTATCATCGGATTCATCGATGTCACACATGGATTGGTCGAGGTTGGAACTCTCTTCAACAGCCTCCTCGGCATCCTCAAAGCGAAGGTGGTTACTCATGGTGGCGTCTTCCTTGCTAGAGGAACACTGATTATTGTTGCTCTTTCGCCGGCCCATCAACTTTTCTATCTTTACTCTGATTCAAAATTAGGGTTTAAGGTTTAGCAATCACACACTGCTTTCTTGTCTCTTTTCCTTTTTTTTCTTTGTTTTATAATATAAAGCAATATATTTCATCACTTTTTTAAAAAGGAAAATTAAATAATTGTGAGAATATTGTTTTCAATATTATTGGGTCCTGAAAATTTACAAATCTAATTATATAATGCAAAGTGTGGAACTATACTAAAAAAATACTTTACTTGTTATAAAAGAGTCTTAAATGCAAACTCTCTAATCTTTTAAGATATTTTTGAATTATTATATAAATTTTATGATATTTATTAATAACGGTGAGTAGACATGCATGTTCATATATTTTTTTTACTGATAATTGAAAATAATAAAATTATTATTGTTATTATTATTATAAAATTAAATATAAATAATTTTTATAATTTTATTCTAAATGGTTTTGTTTTATTTTGTAAGTAATTTTATAAGGGTTAAATACGTTTTTAGTCCTTAAACTATCAAACGATTTTGGTTTTAGTCCATCTTTCAAACTTTGGTATATTTTGATCTTTCTCTTTAAGGAAATTATAATTTTTCGTCCTTCAAAACTAACCACGTTAAAAACAGACTGATCTAGCTAACGTATGGCCACATCATTTCTTCTTTTTCTGACACTGAGTCAATGAACATAGCACTCCTTCCAGAATTCAGATTCAAAGTTTCCTTCATTTCCATTCTTTAATCCAATCACAAAAGAAAAATACAAGATAGAGCCTCCTCATAATCTTTGGTTCCTCTCTTACCACTGCTACCACCAACCGTGGTAGACGTCACCACCAAGGAACCTGCAAAACCTCCACGTTACCCATCAAACCAAACCCTCGCTAGCCTCTCTAATCGTTGCAAACGTCATTTAACCCAAAAACCATTAAGTTTTCTTACCCATCAGCAACAATACAACACTATGTCACTCATCATCAAGGTCATCGCCGCTGGCAGCAATCACCATATAAAGTATTTCTGAAGCCGACACCAGTATCATTCATTGTTTCTCCATTCTCATCCGTACGAAACATCCACACGAACCTCACGTTTTCGTCTCATTTGTTTGGCCAATACCACCAACGTCGGTCCTGGTGCTGTCATAGTCATCATGGTCGAAACCGCCATAGAACTTAAGCAAAGCTGCCATTTTCGGCAACGAAAGGGCATTGCAACGACCATGGAAGAAGGGATAGTCGTCGCCGCCGCTTCTACAAGCCGATATCGTCCTCTACCACAACTTTTTGTCCGGCAAGAGCGGTCGGTCGTGTAGCCGCTGTTGATGAAGACCGACTTCGCCGGCGAAGGTGGTCAAAGCACTATTATAGCCCCATGGAGGAGAAAGGGTACATTTGCTGCAATTGCCATTTGGAGAGAAAGGCACTTGCTCCGTTTGTTTCTCTGAGGAAGAAACCCTGAAAATGAGATTTGACTTTAGCCCCATTTTTTTATTTAATAAATAAATAAATAAATGAAGATTTAAAAAAATCCAGTAACACAATAAAATAAGGTGTTACAGTTTTACTTGGCCAGGACTGAGATGAATTGGGTTGTGTTCTTGAAGGATGCCTATGACGAGAATGGGGCTTTGATTGAGAAGGATGATGAACTTCTCAATGCAGGCCTGGATTTTGGTGCACTTGTGGCTGCTTATGAATCCTCTGTGGAGATTGCAGAGTCTAGCGATAAAGGTGGTGATGATTCGATTCAGTCTCCGAAATTGGAATTCAGTGTCAGAAAAAGAGAAAATGAGATGGCACTCTGTTAGCCATCTCAGCTTATTTTTAACACCGTTGGTTTTGAATGACGACAAATTATGGTTTCCTTAAGGAGAAGGATCAAAATGTCCAAAAGTTTGAAAGATAGACTAAAAACAAAATCGCTTAATAGTTTAGGAACTAAAAACATATTTAACTCATTTTATAAAGTTTTAAAAACGATTAAATTGAAAAATAAAATAGTTAAATTTAAAGAACCTATTACTTAAAGAGTGAAAGTAACTCAAAAATGAGTTAGGTCATGCTAGTTTGCTACAACATAACTCAAAAAATGTAATTCATTCCATTTTTTTTATAGACTAACGAGCTTAGTCCTTTTTTTAAATTTCCAATCTTCCATTTTTATGTTGTGTTGCTTCATTATGGTTATCATCACAACAAAAACTATCAAGTACTAGTCAAATAATGTTTATATTACCTTTCATAAAAACAAAGTGTCAAATATTTGAACAAGCTCTTGTCGAGTGTCCTCCAAAGCCTACCTCACGTTATATTTTTTTAGGTCAAGTGGCGGTAGAACAGGAAAAGTTATTGATAGAGAGTACAAGATTCTCCTTGCTTTGTCATATCTCATTGATTGAAGGTTTGCTTTGGATAAGAGCTTTAGGACATGATAATTGATGGTGGTGGTGCATACCACCGCTAATGTTACTCATATTCATTCTGATGAACATATCTATGACTTGTCTAACAGAAAGTCACAATCCTTTGAAAACATAATTTTTTTTTACCACATTTCATTTCTCTAATCCCAAGTAAAAAAACTTAATTTGGAGTACGAAGGAGAACCTCTTGTGGAGAGTGCACGAGGTTTTGAATGGGTACTAGTTGAGGAAGAAAGGCATCATGCGATGAGGAGGAGACTCATGATGAGAGTTTTGTGACATAATGTGAAGATCTTCGCAAAGGAGTCTCATAACACAATGTGGAGAGCTTTATGAGGGAGGCTGACAATGTGGATTTTATAAACTATGCAACGAAGACTCGTGGTGTGAGAGGAGATCGACATTGGTTTGCGACTAACACATATTCACATGGAGCAATTTGTGATTGATTTAAAGCTACACAACTAAATGAGCAATTCATGACTGACAAATGTTCGCAAAGGTCCACCACTAACAGTGACTATGACTATGAAAATATAAAAAAAGGGAAAACGAAAATGCAAGATAAAGAGGAAACATTCAAATGAAAGTGGAATAGTAAAAAAATAACTCAGGCTTTTTTTTTTTCATGAAAATATTACACTTTTAACAATGTTTAACTACCTAATCGTTGTTATTTCTCATCCAACTCACTTTTAACACCGTTAATTAGACAACTATTCACGATGTTGGTTTTTTCACTGTCATTATTTAATATTGTGAAGTCCCTTTTTACACTAATGAACAATTAAAAAAATTAAAAAATTTAGATGCTAAAATCACAATTTCAAATTAACAAAAACTACCAAAGATTAAGCCCTTTGCAAAAGAACCGTAGTCATTATCACCGGGCCACTGTTATGTATGGCAGGTTTAGGCCCATTCCAAAGCTGCAAATCACACACAGGGTTTGTGTCATGGAAGGTCATATAAAATAAATTAATTTTATTAAAAAAAATCAGTTGAAATTTGTATCCTTAATAAAATAAAAAGTTTCACTTTGATTTCCCTGTCTAATCGATTTAAAGTAAGTTGATTAACCAAAACAAATATATTTAATTATATATAATTTTATATTATTTTCTTTTGAATACTACTCAATCAAACCTTACCAGTTTGTTTTTCCCACCGGAGATACACTTATTATGCTAAATATTGGAAACCATATGCACAATTACAATACAAAAAAACATCAACAAAGTTTAGATACTATATAAACTAATTTGAAGTTATATACCACTTTGATTAAAAAATAACATATAAACCATATTTGTACGTAGTGTTTACTAATTTGATCTTATATTCACGAATTTAAAATTGAAGATAAAATTGTTTAATATGTAAAAAATAACAATATTTGTTGTTTATTTCAATATTTTACCAATTATAAAAATACAGTAATTATTATCTAATATTAGAAAACATTTAAATGGAAATGGTTTTTCCTATTTTTAACTTGTTAAAATACATTATCATATTAACTAAGATAGCTAACCAATATAGTTTTTAAGCATTCATATTGACAAAATAATTATATATTTTTAGTCAAATAATATATGAAAAATCTTACCATAATTAATATGTATCAAACAATATATATGAATCAAACAATTAGTGTATATAAAAATACAAGAAGATGATTACTTACAATTAATGAGAATTACCATAACAAGTCAAAATTTAAATATTGTGTGTGACTATTTTCAATTTTAAAATATTTTTATTTAAATTTCTAAAGTATTTAATGCATAATTAATAAGACATTTCTAAAAATAATAGAGTGAACTTAAATATTAACTTTTTATTATAAATTAATGAAAGTTTTTGCAACATTTTCAAATTAAACTATTTTTTATTAGAAGGAACAAAACTAAACTAAAGTTCAGGGTTACTATACTGCAAATTCTCTTACTTTCAACTTACACTTTCAAAAAATTTTATTTTATTTATTTATATTTATTTTTATTATGTTAATATAATATTTTATCAAATTAAGCCCGTGTTCGTTCGAAGATAATGTATTATTCACCGTGATTTAAGACGACGGATTTACTTAAATCTAATGTCAAATGATGTAGAAATAAAGGTCGTGTCAAACCATTTTTTCCTCAATAAAATTATTTCAAAAATATCTTGCTGGTTTGGCTACTACAGTAGAACCTTCCATTTTCTGTTACTCATGAGTTACTTCATATTCACCTCCTCGAAATTGAAGAATACGTACGGCATTATGGAACTCAGTATTCTATACTTGCTGTAATAAAAACCTAATTAAAATTAATATATAAGTAATATAATTAATGAACAGTGTTTTTGTGAAATCTACAGTTATATAATTGACTGATATATATATATATATA